TCTCAATTTTTCTAAGTAGCATAGATAATTATACACGATGGTTATTTTGAATATTACTTATACATTCTCAAAACAGATGAAAGAGATGCCCAGAACCGTATTGCGTTCTGTCAATTCTTGCTGAATGAAATAGATGCTGATCCAGCACGGTGGCGCTCAACCAACTTTAAATGGCTCGGAAAACCACCTCCGAAATAACACCGGGGATTGATTCCTCGGTATCGAAATAACCCAGAAAAATCGTTCTTACGTTCGTAGTTTGAGCCGTTTTCGAAAAACACGATTTTGATCTAAAAAATTTTGAATAAATTAAAAAATTCGAATAAAAATCATTTTCTAAACTAGAAAGTCTTTGGAAATTTATATTTGCAATTTACACAACCATTTTTCAATGTATACATCAAGAAAATAATTTGTGAAAAAAAAAATAAAACTATAAAAAATTAAATTTACTAAAAATTTTAGACAATTACAGCAAGGTGAAAAAAATGAAATCAAAAATAATGTGTATGCGAAAAAAGAGAATTATTATTGAGAAGATTACACTAACAGATTCATGGTCGTATAACGTTATAGTCAACAGAACATAATCAGTATAGAATACGCAACAATAACAATTTTTTTAAACTTCATATACAAAATTAATGCGACAAATCTACACACACTTGCAACTTAACGAAATTATAACGCAATATAACAATCATTTGCGTTACATGTGTTTCGAATTATATTCTCGAACTGCTCCTAATAACTTCTGTGCATAATCAGGGTGAGAAACTTTGTATCTAGCCCAGGTACTTTTAAAATTTGAATGTACAGACTCCACATCCTGCTCGCTGTAAAAGCCAAAACCTTTTCCTACTTTCGCACAAAAATCAGGCACGTGAAAGAAAACGGCATGGACCTTAGGAGTAACTGAAATGTTCAACGCAAGATAATTCAACTTGAATTTCGTGATGCATGTTAAATAATCAGATTTCAGTTCAGACGAAAAACACGAATCAACAACGATTTTGAAACCATTCAAACACTGAACAAATTTCAAACAATTCAAACAGCATATTGCACGCAATAAATCAACATTGTTCTATAACTTTTTACATGAGTTACCGGCGAACGCTGGACATCCATGCACAAATTCTCGAGTGACATTGCACTTTTGAGCCCATTGTAAACTTTCCTTTTCGCATAACAAGAGCATATTTTTGTACAAAGTGTTTACTACACCTAGTAGAAGGTGAAGCTCTGGGGGTGGGATAATATCTATTATTTGTTTGTTTTCATCATCCGATGGAAAAATTGGATCATTTGTGCAGCTATGGTATTTTTTGCATTAGATTTACGACTGCTTTTTTCTTTCCACGATTTTGAGTTTAACTTACAATCGTAAATTGTTCTATAACTTCCGCACGTTGTCATCTCTTTTTTTGATGCAGTGCACCACGTGCACGGATACATGCTTGAATGCGACCCTACACCAGTTAATACATTCGCTAATTTGAGATCAGTGGCTATTGTACAAATCATTTTTTCAATTTTTAACAGTTTCCATAGCATTAAAACATTGTCATAATTCTCATGTATGTGTGCCACTATGCCCAGTAACAACATTCGCTTAACCCTAGAATCTTTCAACTATTTTGCCGCAACTCCTTCAGAATATTTTTGTCTAGTATTGACTTTCGATTTGTTCGATTTGTACTGCCAATATCAATTTGTATAGAAAGAACGACTTTCAAGAATCCTCCACATCCGTCTATTCCCAATTTCAGGTGTTTACTATTTACATTTCTTTTTTGTGATACTACTTCTATCAATTTTTGAACGTCGTTGCAATATACGATAGTTTCACAAGAATCTGTAGCTTTACCCTTTACCATGTGTGTCACATTGCAAACTTTGTATTCAAAAAAGGAATCTAGTGAATGATTTAACTCTCTTAGTTTTTTAGTAAGATTCGGTTCAAAAATCTTTTTATCTTTCGTCGCAACACGAATTGCAGTAGCACAACGTTCAGTTTGATTGAATGATAGATTAAGGTTTGTTGATACCTTACTGAAATCCTCAGCTGAGATTTGGGGGCGAAACTTCTTACGACTAGATTCAGGTTCGTTCAGCGACACTCGCAGTCGTTTACCGCGTCTTTGCGATAAAAGTAATTCTTGGCTATTTTCTCCAGCGGTTGACTGAACTTTTTCTTCTGCTATGTCTTTAATTAATTTGCAAGCTAAGTGTTCCTTCTGTTTCAAATCCAAATTCTGTTCAACGTTCGCTTGTATCTCTTGATACGTCACCTTGTGTTTACAAACATGCTCTTGACCAGCCCGGTAATAAGATTTACATTCTTTACATTTGATTTTCTTTTTACTTTTACGTGGAATCACTACACTTGTACTAGTCTTCCTGCCATTCAACCTTACCACGTCACATAAATCACATTCACAAACTTTACTATTTTTATACCGTGTACTGCGAGGAATTGGTTTAAAATTGGTATAGTCTGGCAATTTAACTGTTACTAAGTCATTTCCTTCTTTTTGTTTTTTGAAAGCACGGTATATATTAATTTTACAAGTGCTACAAATAACATTTGGTAAACGAATGTCACTTGCATCATAATTTGTTACTTTTTCTATTTTTACCTTGAGTTCACCAACAATAAATTTCAGATTTTCTTTTTTTTTTAAACACACTAAACATATCTTCTCTCTATTTTCATCGTGAGTCCCAGCGTGATATTTTTTTTTCTTAAACATGATCACATAGTATTTACACCACCAAGCTTTTGCATGAGCCAAAAAAAAACTAATCGCGACATCACGCATTCACCTATCGACTAGACGCTTCGGCGTTGACTGATATACTTCGATAATAGCTAATCAAAACAAGTGTGTATTATGATTATGGCAGACGCGTCTGTCTCTTGGAAATGTGATACCTACGCACGATAATGTCAAATGAAATTTAGTATTTTCGCATGCGATACATTATAAATACTATCATATCATTGTAAATGATCAGCAAGTAGAAAGATACAAAATTTATGGTTGCGATAAATAATTCAATTTCAATTTTTTTGATTTATTGACATTTTTTAGATTAAAATCGTGTTTTTTGAAAACGGCTCAAACTACGAACGTAAGAACGGTTTTTCTGGGTTATTTCGATACCAAGGAATTAATCCCCGGTGTTATTTCGGAGGTGGTTTTCCGAGCCATTTAAAGTTGGTTGAGCGCGACCGTGCCAGGCTTTATGGATCGAATTCTCTGGACTGACGAATCAACATACGTACGGAAGGGAATGTTTAATCAGCACAATGAGCATCAGTGGGCTCATGAAAATCCGCATGTGGCTCGGGAAGGTAAGTGTTTTGAATAGTTAAAGACCCCATATTCTAAAAAAAATCAATCCCATGAAAATTTTCCTATGCGTGTGCGTCTTCTATTGAAAGAAAATTTATTTTTGGGATACGCTTAATAATAAACATTTTTTAAGCATTTTTCAAACACTTTTTCTATACCCCCTGCACGAAGACGCTACTCTGCGCACACTTCAAAAAGCAATGGTACTCCAAGTCGCATCTTTGCGTTCGGAAAACCGAAAATGTTAAAAAGATATATCTAAAAATGTATATTATTACGAGTATAATAAAAATAAACTTTCTTCCAATAATACACGCACACACATAGGGAAATTTTAATCGGATCAGCAATTTATTTTGGAATACGGGGTCTCCGTACCGGGATCTGGCCGTGAATTTGTCATTGGGTGCGTTAGTTATGATTTATAAAAAAAAACAGTCTACGATCTCTAGCGTTGACAAAAAAATTTTTCTCTATCGAAATAAAATTTGTATTTATAGGTCTATAAACAATTATTAATGAAAACGTTATTTAGTTCGTTCGAATTGCTTTTTTAGTTTATCCACATGGAGGTCCGTTTGGTGGGTGAATATATTAAATAAATATAGCGATGATTTAAGTGTAAAGGAAAACTTGATGTTTTATTAAAAGTAGACTAACTACTACAAATACTTAATAGTAGAGACTTAGTCTACGCAAAGACCGCGCATCTTGCAGAGAGTAGAGATGTAAGCGTGTCGGCAGTTCTAGCGCGAATGACGATTCACTCGTCATACCTCAGCGAAGACGCTTTCCTTGGGCATGGGGGGAAAGTAAGTCCCACCCACAAAGTCCGTAAAAAAGGTAGCTGAGGACCAACGGGAAAGCAGAGTGATGATACGTGTTTTGTCGCTAACAACAAGGGATTAGCGAGAGCGCAAAGCAATTTTCATTTATTGCGGGCGCGCCATAAAAATCGAAATTCGGCGCGGCAGTTAAGCGGCAGCCGCGCCACAGCTGAACTAAATTATTTTATTGATGCTGAGGAAAAACTGAAAGTTTTAACCGAGTAGATCAACAGATAAAGCACGTCCGCCACACACATTTAAACAATGGGATGATAAAGTCAAAACTGATTCACAGTTCATACATTATTATGAGTAATAATCTAAATCACGAAGAAAATGTAGTTCGTATATGCATCTATAAGTGCGAAAGACTATTTAAGAGCAATAATTTTTTGTGAAGCGAGATGTTCATTCGCCGTTTTTAAAAATTATCATGCATTGATATTTTATTTCATAGTACGAATGTATACAATTCTTCACGTATTTTTCAGTCAAATTTTCCTTTAATAGCCTTAAGATTATGGGCACGTAGAAGAGAAAAAACGAAATAGAACAAATGCAATTATAAAAGATCAAAATACTAACATAAATATTACTTTTTGTAAATAATATGGTTAAATTATCAAACTGCAATCCTTTGTACGGTATGACTCGCTTCGTTCACGTTGTCTCAGAAAACACAATACGACATATGCGTGGATAGGAGACGTCTTGCGTCGCCAAACATCTATCAAAATGTACTATAAACTGAAAAATTTATAAATTTTATTCATTATTTCCAGATCGATTTCAAAATCGGTTTTCAGTCAATATGTGGACAAGCTTGATTGGTAATCAAGTTATTGGTCCGGTACAACTTCCAAACCCACTAAACGCTGAAAATTACCTTGAATTCCTGCAGGATATACTTCCAGGATTGCTTGATGAAGATGGTGTGCCAGAAGAACTGCAAGAAAATCTTATTTTCATGCATGACGGTGCACCAGCACATACTGCTGCGAATGTAAGGAATTATCTTGATCAGGTAATTATTATAGTATACATTATTGTTGGAAATATGTAAAAGCATCTCATCTGTTTTGCTCTGCGCATGTGCGTGACTACACGTCTCGCTCTCTCTTGGCGGCTAGCGGCGTTGCCGATCAATTCGTTCTAGTCTCTTCCGTGACGCGGACGCCAAAGGCTTTCTCTCGAATAAAGCATTTCTTTTCTACAACTGTTTATTCACTTATTCTGCCTGCTTTACCCTTCCTTACCAAAAATTGTATTACGCGATTTCTCCTAATGAAAGTCTTAACGCTCTGAAATTTCATGTAGGATAATTTTGTCGTGGCTTTATGCCAATTATTTGCTGAAGGGAATATTGCTCTGACTTCAAAGGAAATTTAATTACTTTTATATTATTCTTTATAAAAATATAAAAGTCGTTCTAGCACAGATAGCCTTATGAAAATTTTCTACTTTGTATCATACTTGACGAGTTTTATTTCCGTCGCTCAAAGATTCTCAAATATCAATTAAAATCCGCTCTCCTCCTCTTTCCCTTTTATTTCAACTCTACTTTGAATATAAAATTTTTTAATCTCTACGTATGCTGCCAGTATTTTGATTACTCGTACTACTTTAGCCTACAGAAGTTTTAAAACCAACACGGCTTCATTAGTATACTTCGGGGAGCATGTGAGAGTGCATTCACAATACAGCGCTAGAATATGTATATGTCTGTACATGCACCTGCATGTACAACTGTCGGCTAGAAAAATTATTGGTTTCATAACAAATTTTACGCAGGTATATTAAAATCGCTTATAAAATATTTTAATTCTTCAAGGTATATGGCGGCCATTGGATAGGCAATAATGGTCCATTACGCTGGCCAGCAAGATCTCCTGATTTGAACCCATTGGACTACTTTTACTGGGGGACATCCAAAGAAGCAGTTTATCACAATGGCGGCCTCAATGATCCAAATGACATGATACAAAGAATCCAACATCATGCCCAGCATCTAGAACCCGAAAAAATACATGCAGCTACACATCAGATAAGACGTAGAGCTATTTTGGGTATTCAGCAACAGGGGGGGCATTTCGAACAATGCTTGGATGGTGATGATGGTGGTAATGGTGATGATGGTGATAATGGTGATGATGATGTTGTTGAGGAGGAGGACAAGAATGGTGATGATGTTGATGTTGATGGCAATGATGAAAATGGAGAAGATGATGATGATGATATGAACAACGATGGTGAAAATGATGGCAGCGAAGACGGTGAGGCTGATGATAGTATGGATGAAGATGATGACGACGTTGGCAACGATCCGGATTAGGAGATATGAATTTACATGTTTTTTATATTTTTTTTTCTACTAAGGTTTTACTAAAAACTAGTCAGCCTAATAGTAGACGAAATTCGAATAATTCGATAAAACGTTATACTCTGTGTAAATAAAGATGATTTGTTATATAAATCTGTTTTTTCAATCATCTCCCTTAGCTGTTTTGGTTGTTCTCAATACGGGCCTCAATTATTTAAATTTTCATACACCACTGAGTTCATCACAAATAGTTATGGATAAGTAGACTTATGAAAAATTTTTTCTAGAATTGAGGTAATTAGATAAATAATTAAAAAGAAGAGTGATAATTTACTCGTTTAACTTCTAAAACTGGAATCAAGACAAATAATTGTGGGTGAGGTGACAGAATGTCAACTGACGAAAGGTTAAATAAGCTTAGGGTGGTGAGACCGTTCTCGTTATTCTACCTTTTTTCCGCTCTTGTCCTTCTTTTCCCATATTTCCCAAAACATCGACTACGTCTAACTCTTGATCATTGGCACTTATACCACAGCTTACCTTTGGTCTGTTGCATTACCTGTTCCGCCCGTTGCTTTTGTCTTTTCAATATTATCTTCACGTCTTCTACGGCAAACCCAGGCTACACTGTGCTCCTTTGCCTTTCTACCAAAGTCCATGTTTGACTCTGACTCTTCTATCAAGCAGCACTGAGCACATCTGCCCTTCCCACAAATCTCTATATATCTGACACACTTCTGAGACTGCCCTGAGGTTGACCGCTTTTTCTTCCGAGTCGTTGCTCTACCTTCCCATCTTCTTAAACTATGCTCGCTCCGCCCTATTTTTTAAGACTCTGCTTCGACTAACTCTTTCTCCAAGTCAGAATGGCCTCGTCCGCTCTCTTTTCCGAACCCAACTTCGTCTAACTCTATTACAAACCTGCATTAGACACATCCGTCCTCTTTTTCCGAGAACCCGCTCCGTTTAATATAATTTCTAGTTAGCAATGTGGTCGTCTGGGATCATTTCCGCACCCTTGCTCCGTTGGACCCATTCCTAAAACACTACTATAACCGCCTTATCTTGTCCCCAAGCCACCTGCTGTTATTGCTCGTCGTTAACTGTCCATCCAAGTTAACACTATGCTTGATTGGCCATTTTCAGAGAAGAAATGGGCTCGAGCACCTTCTTATTCGAGCCCGACTTAGCCTGACCCTTTTCCAAGGCCACCCCCTGCTCGTCTAGCCTACAACTAGCGCCCTCGCTTTTATGTGCCGTTATTCCCAGTCAGCACTACGTTTGCCTAAGCGTTTTTCCGCACCCTCACTCCGACTAACCCCTTACTAAAGCAGCACTGGGCTCCTTCGCCAATTTTTTCGAGTCCGCACTGCTTGAAACTTTTGCTAGGCCTCCCCATGTTCGACTAGCTACAATCTATGCAACCGCTTCCTCTGCCGTTTTTTTCATTCAGCACAACGCATCTGCACTCTTTTCTGCGGACTCGGACACGGACATAGCCCTGTGCTCGTCTACCCTTCTGAACGCAACCCCCCCGCTCGTCCGTCTATTTTCACCCAGCCCTTGGCTCGTCTACCCTTTTTGACATAGAGCTCTGCTCGTCTGCCCTTTTGGACGCAGCCCTCTCTCGTCCGTCTTATTCCACCCAGCCCTCCGCTCGTCCGTCTTATTACACCCTGCCCTCCGCTCGTCCGTCTTATTACACCTTGCCCTCCGCTCGTCCGTCTTATTTCGACGAATCCCTCCCACCGTCCGTCTAATTTCGAGGCAGCCCTCTGCTCGTCTGCCCTTTATGACGCAGCCCTCTGCCCGTCTTCCCCATTTTACACAGCCCTCCGCTCGTCCGTCCTATTTTAACATAGCCCTCCGATCGTCTGCCCTTTTGGACGCAGCCCTCCCTCGTCCATCTTATTTTACACAGCCCTCCGCTCATCAGTCTTGTTTTAATATAGCCCTCTCATCGTCTGCCCTTTTGGACGCAGCCCTCCACTCGTTCGTCATATTGTGACCTAGGTCTCAGCTCGTCTGCCCTTTTTGACACAGCGCTCTGCTAGTTTGCCCTTGAGGATGCAGCTGTCTACTCGTCCGTTCTATTTCACACAGCCCTCCGCTCGTGTGTTCTATTTCACCCAGCCCTCTGCCCGTCCGTCTTATTTCGACGTCTCCCCCTCGCCGTCCGTCTAATTTCGACGTAGCCCTCGGCTCGCAAGCCCTTTTAGACGCAGCCCTTCGCGCGTTCACCTTGTTTCACACGGTCCCCAACCCTTCCGTCTCATTTTACTCTGCCCTCCACTCATCTGCCCTATTTCATCAAGCCCACAGCTCGTTTGCCCTTTCCGACATAGCCCTCCGCTCGTTCGTTCTATTACGATCCGCCCTCAGCTCGTCCGTCACATTTCGACGTAGCCCCCAGCTGGTCCGTTTAGCGCCATCGTAGCGACAGCATTTTTGTTTAGGAGCCGCCTACTTGCCAAAACGCGTTTTTTCTCGGAGATTTAAAGCTCCTTCTATTATAGACTCTATTAGAGTCTCACCCATAGTCTCAAATTTAGATGTGATACGATTCGCACGCGTGAGAAATTTTAGGATGAATTTCCTGTGTTTGACTAGTGTAAATCGTCTCGCACACGCGAATTGAGACTTTGTTCCAAGTGTGATGACACATCAGAAGTGAATTTCCCACATGGAAATTTTTAGCCGAGGGTTGTCAGTATTTATTTATTATTATTTTATTTCTTAATCAAAAAAAAAATGTATAACCAAGCTAATTGGAAACACACTGTACGCCTCTACCTATTGATCTCATTTTCTCAAACGCAAAAAAAAGCAATGATGTAGTAGCCGATCACAGCGATTTTCAGCATTAAATGAACATAATTCTTAAGTAAGACAGAGAGTTTGAATTCGGCGACCACGAATACTACATAACCTATTTCGCAAAATAAACACAAAAGCTTTCACATACATCATTGTTATTAGTCAATCGGTATTGAACCGTTCTTTTTATTGATACGCGTTCAATCAATGAATACGTATATCAGTATGTAGACATGGGAGCTCCGTGTTGCACGATTGGGTTGAGCACCGCTTACAATCAGCGGCGGCGCGCGCCGCTGGCTTCCCCTCACTGCTCCGCGCTCGCCGCCAAGCGCCCGTTCTTCTAAAGCTGTGCGCTGATTGGCCGATCTTTGAAGCTAATTATCTAATTACCTAATTATTTAATCGAAAAACTAAGAACGCAATTAGGAATTAATTTTTCGAGACGAATCGAATGGAATTATTAGTTACATATGTTTTTGAATCACCCTGTATTTATAGATGAAAGTACTTTTCAAAGCTTAACTATTCAGTATGATACTGTCTAGGAATTTTGTAATGATTTACCATCGTTCATTGATCTAACTCGAAATGAAATGGACGCAGGGATCGCAAAAGACGATTCTGTGCAGCTATCTCGAGGAAAAATTAATGAGAAAATAGATGAAAACTCAAGCCTAACCGATGCTAAAAAAAATGAGATAGCTTCGTTTGTGTACCAATTTAGATATATATTTCGTAAACAACTAGGTTTATTAAAAGTATATACTCATAAATTGATTTTAAAAGATAAAGAGTCTTATTTTTCAAAACAGTATCCTATACCGTTAAATAATCAAGAAAATGTTCGAATTGCAATCAAAGATATGCTAAAAGATGGCGTTATTTGTCGATCAATGAGTAATTATATTAATCTAATTGTTATAAGTATCAAAAAAGACGGGTCAGTACGATTTTGTCTAGATGTCCGAAAATTAAACAAAAAATTAGTAAAAGATTATGAAGCACCACTACATATGAATGATATTTTTTAACATTATTTTGGAGTAAAATTTATATCTCGTTTTGATTTGACAATTAGTTTTTGGCAAATTTCTCTCGTAGAAGAAAGTAAGAAATATACGGCATTTATTATCGAAGGTAATACCTACGAATTTAATGTAGTACCTTTCGGTACATGCATAAATTTATCAATTGGTGATTTAAAATAATTTATAATCCCGTTTGTGGATGTTATGTATTTCTAAAACATTATCTATATTATGTATTTCTAAAACATTCAATGAACATATATATCATTTACGTGCACTATTTACATGCTGTCGTAAAGATAATTATACATTTAAATTTACAAAATCTAAATAAGTTCAAGAAGAAATTGAATTTTTAGGATATGTTATTACTCCATATGGTATAAAAGCTCAAAAAAGTAAATTAGAAATAATTCAAAATTATAAAGCTCCAATAAACTTAAAAAGCTTGCAAAGTTTTCTTAGATTCGTAAATTTTTATACAAAGTTTGCGAAAAATAATGCTGAAATATGTAGACCTTTAATGAACTTATTTCAACAAAGAAAAGGCTATCAATGGTTATCTGAGCATGAATCAGCTTCTGAAAATGTAGAAAAGATTTTCATTGATATTATTACTTTGAAATTTCTTGATCCTAGTGAACCTTATATATTAACAACTGATGCTAATTATCATACCATAGCCGCTGCTTTGTCTTAATTAAATAGCGAAGGCGAAGAAGAAATTGTAACATTTATATCTAGAACTTTGAAAGGCGTAGAATTAAATTATTTCACAACCGAAAAAGATCTTTTAGCTGTAGCTTGGTCACGTCGAAAATTGGAAACGTATCTAAGAGGTGCGAAAGAAATAATTATACGTACGGATATGAAGCATTGAAATTTTTGACTTCTTGTAAATTTACGAATGCGAGATTAATGAAGTGGTGCTTGTTTCTTCAAGACTACAACATTACATACGAGTATTTACCAGGCAACAAAAATAAAGCCGCTGATTTCCTATCAAGATACATAATGGACTGCAGCAACGACTACACCGATGAAATTTAAGTCGCTACGTTGATGATAGATCCTTCTTGCGATTTAATTAAACATTTAAAAAATCTGGATTTATTACAACAAAAGGATGACTATATACAAGATTTAAGAAAAAAGGAAAATTTT